GAGCCCGGGCGGGAAATTTGTACAATTTTTGTGAACAAGCATTGGGTTTTTGATGTTTTTATGTTGAAATGCTTGCAAACACACGGTGTTCGGTAGGATTCTGACATGAACGCGCGCGTGTGCTCTTTGTGGTATTTTTTGCAATGGATTATCGCCGTGGACGACAGGACGTCCATGTCGAGAGGAAAAAATAAGAAAAATGTTGATTTTGTATTGTTTTTTACAGGTTAGGATGGGACCACCCGGATGCGGCCCCTATCGGCCGGCCTGAGGGGGGAGTAGGAGTATATTCTAATAAGGAATAAGGATAGGAGTAGGAGGAGGAGGAGGAGGAGGAGGAGGAGGAGGAGGAGGAGGAGGAGGAGGAGGAGGAGGAGGAGGAGGAGGAGGAGGAGGAGGGAGGAGAGGAGGAGGCGGAGGGGAGGAGGAGGAGGAGGAGGAGGAGGGAGGAGGAGGAGGAGAGGAGGAGGAGGAGGAGGAGGGAGGAGGAGGGAGGAGGAGGCGCGCAGGATGAGGATGCGGGCGCTGGGAGCGGAAGCGTGCGGCGCGCCCAGCGAGAAGCCGGCAGACGCGGGCTGCCCAGGCCCTGAGCTCCAGGTTCGATGGGCCAGGCATGGGCGACCCGGAGGAGATGACCATCATGAGCCAGGCGGCGGCGCCGCCACGGGGACCTCCTCGCTCCTCCTCCTCATTTTCTTCCTCTTCCTCCTCCATTCCTTTTCCAGAGAGATCGGAACGTGAGGCTCTGGAGTTGGCTCGGGTTGGGGGACTCGAGAGCCTCCTCTTGGCCAGGGTACTCCTCCATTCCTTTTCCTTAGCGTGGGGCTTGCTCTAGCCCTGCGACAGGCGGTCGGGCTGGCGGTGTGGCTTCTGGCCAAAGGGGAGCCGCTGTCTCTTCGTTTGGCGTTGTCAGCTCACGGCGATTAGCTTCCATATTGTCAATGGCGATCAGTGCTGGCGTGGTCATTGCAACCACCACTGCGCATCAATGGTCGTAGGCATCGTGGTGACCATGGCTGTCATCAAGGATATGCTGTTCCAGGGTATCGCAAACAGCGGCCTCACGAGGGCCGTGATGGTCGCCTTTATCGATGCTGCTAGCGTCGGGATCGTCGCCTCAGCTGAAGTTGTCAACGCCATTGCTTGTCGGCGGCGGTCGCAGCGGCTGTCCGTGCTCACAGCTGTTCTCACAGACATGGAGACACTGTTCACTCAGACCAGGGACGTTTCTGTGACTGTTGCACTTGCTGCTCTTTCCCTCGGCCGGTGCCGGTCACCGGAGGGCGTCGCCGGCGATGGCGATTCTGACCACAGCGAGGACGAGGAGCAGCTGCACTCTTGGCCGCTCTGGGCCTCTCGCTGCCCCCTGCTTCCCCTGGGTGGGGCAGCCGAGCGCGAGCGGGGATCTTTGGACAAGCCCTGGGGCGGAACGAGGGAGCGCAGGGCGAGGAGGAGGAGGGCGGAGGGTGGGAGGGCGGGAGGGGAAGGGCGGGTGGAGGACCGAGGGGAGGGCTATCTCTGCAGGGGCGGAGGGGAGCGGGGAACGCGGAAGGAGGGGGGGAGAAGCGGGGGGGGACGAGGGAGGAAGAGGAAGAGGAGGGTGTGAGGAGGTCCAGAGTAAATTTGGAATGCGTCAGCGACCCTGCAGTGTATCTCAAGGGAGGAAAACCCGGTCGTTGAAAGTAGGTATTTTTGGTTATCTTGATCCCAAACTGTTTTAGGCGCGTTCCTACTTCAAGAGTCGAGTGGTTGTCCCTCATGGCTCCTCTTCAGGGAGCGGGCGGAAACCGAATCTACTTCTAACGCCTTCCTACTTCATGATTCTACCCATTTCTTTCGACCGGCGTGTGCAATCGCATGTTCGTCTCGCGTCGCGGGGGGCACGTCCGGAACACGTGCAGTGCAGTCGAGGCGGGGCTTGCTGGGAGCCTCTTTGGGGTCTCTTGGAGGCCTCTTCTTGGGGCCCCTTGGTCCGTGAACCGCTCTGTAAGCGTTTAGGGCGAATGCGCGCGGCGCTAAGGCGTGCGCCTAACTTTGAAAACGAACCGGCATCCAGCATTGAAGCTGTTGCGCATTTTGACGGCGAATGTGCGCGGCGCTGGGGCGAGAGCCGCATTTTGACAACGAGCTGGCCTCCATCCTTGACGCTGATGCAAGCTGTGATGACGAATGTGCGCAGCGCTATGGCGAGAGCAGTATTTGTGAACCACCCGCCTTCTATCCATGAAGCGAGCTTTTAGATTTAGGATCGTACACTGTCAGGAAGGGCTCAAGCTGCCGGGTCTACCCACGGACACATCTGGTGGTGCGACAGGGGGAGTTGTTTATAAGGAGAAGGGATGGGGAAGATGGAGGTGGAGGATGAGGATGAGAAGGAGGAGGATGAGGAGGAGGATGAGGAGGAGGAGGAGGACCAGTGTAAACCCAAAAGTCATCAACGATGTTGGACTTAACCCTCCCTCCAAGCTCCCTCTTCATAGACCCCTGCAACGGTTTATTTCCATCTGCTTCGTTGGAAGACAAGCGTTTTCAGACCTTGAAACATGCCAAAACATGGTTCTCGGGATTTACACGCCACGGATCATCCTGACTGCTGCGTCCTGACGATTTAGATTCGTGCCAGAACGCCATTTCTGGGACCTCAACACCGCCAATCAACTTAGCTGTTGCACCTGCATAATCCCGAACCGTTCCAAAACACGATTTCTGGTACGTTGATCATTGGAAACCGTGACGCTCTTACAAATTTACAAAAACGAATGTGCGCGGCGCTAAGGCGAGAGCCACATTTTGAAAAGGAACCGCCCTCAATCCGTGAATCTCTTACAGTTTTTTACACGAATGTGCGAGGCGCTGAGGCGAGAGCCACATTTTGAAAAATACCCGCCCTGAATCCGTGAAACTTTTGTAAGTTCTTAAAACGAAAGCGCGCGGCGCTAAGGCGATAGCCACATTTTGAAAACCACCCGCCCTCAATCCGTGAAGCTCTTTGCAAATTTTCAAAACGAATGTGCGCGGCGCTGAGGCGAGAGCCACATTTTGGAAACCACCCGCCCTCCATCTGTGAAACTGTTGCCACTTTTCAAGCATCAGAGTCACAATGGTGAGGAAGTCTTAGGCGAAACGCCCGGACAAACCTAAAAACTGGCCTCGGGGTGCGACAGGGAGAAGTTATTTATAAGGAAAAGGAATTGAGGAGGAGGAGGAGGAGGAGGAGGAGGAGGAGGAGGAGGAGGATCAGGAGGAGGAGGAGGAGGAGGAGGAGGAGGAGGATCAGGAAGAGGAGGAGGAGGGGGGGAGGGTGAGGGGGTGCGGACGACAAGGAGGGGAAAGAGGAGGTGAAGGGGGGAGGAGGCAAGCTAGGTGCCTTAGCGTCACATCTGACGTCCTACCCCTCCCTCCCATCCCCTACCATGGAGTAGATCTCTTATCTATTCGCGCAGTCGGATGCCGAGCAGGGCAATGATCCCAAGAGGGTACACGATGGGTGTAAAAGCATGGCGTAGAAGAGCACGGCAGAGCATAGCATGTCATAGCATTGCGTGGCATTGTGTAGTGAAGCATTGCATCACACAGCATAGCAACGCAAAGCATGGCATCACACAGCGGTGCACAACACAGCATCGCATTGCATGCCGTGGCATGGCACACGATGACTTGGAGGGTAACTTGGAGAGTAAGTGGCCCGTCTACGAGAGGACAGGGCCTGTCTGGAATGCTGCCTCCATGTCCTCCGCAACCGTGCCTGCCCGATGTGGGCGCTTTCGAATGCCAAGCGCCGTCCGGAGGCGGGAACGAGGCCAGCGCTGCAGCGGGAGCACGATTTTGAATTACCGAAGCGCGGGAATGAGGGCGGCGCTGCAGCGGGAGCACCATTTTGGAAGAATCAGAAACCACCAGATTGAAAAACACACCTAAAAAAGCAAGACAGTGACATCCTGTGTGCAAAGAAGCAATCTGCGGAGGGGACGGGACACTCTCTGGGCGGAGGCATGGACGAGGGGAGAGTAGTATTCACATTGTGCAGCTGTAGAAGGAGGAGCAGAGGGGGCGAGGAGCAAGGAGCGTGAAGGAGGCTTCTGACGCGAAGCGGGCACGGCGCTCTGCGCGCCTCCGCGGTGCCCGAAGGGGCTGCCCAGTGGGGCGGCCCGTGATGGCCGATCTGCCAGGGAGCTCCTAAGGGTGCGGGCGTAGGTCTTTCCCGGTTAGGTACCCCTGGGGCGGAGCAAGGAGCGGGGAACGGGCAACGAGGAGGTGGAGGAGGAGGACGGGGAGGAGGAGGGGGGGGGGGACGGAGGAGCAAGGAGCGAGCAGCGAGGAACGAGGAGGAGGAGGAGGAGGAGGATGAGGATGAGGATGTGGAGGAGAAGGGGGAGGAGGAGGAGGACGTGGAGGACGAGGAGCGATGAGCAAATAGAACTAAGGCGGAGAAGGAGGAGAAGGAGGAGGATGATGATGATGATGAGGAGGAGGAGGAAGAGGAGGAGCGAGGAGCATGAGGGGGAGGAGTGAGGAACGAGGATGATTGCGCTGGGTGCGGATCAGAGGAGCGATGACGATGAGCGATGAGCGATCAGCGATGGGCGATGAGCGATGAGCCGTGATGATGATGATGATGATGATGATGATGATGCTGATGATGATGCTGATGATGATGATGCTAATGATGATGATTATGATGCTGCTGCTGATGAAGCTCATGATTCTGATGATGATTATGCTGCTGATGATGATGACGATGCTGATGACGGTGCTGATGCTTTTGATGCTGCTGCTGCTGATGATGATGATGATGATGATGATGATGATGCCGAGGCTGCTGCTGCTGCTGCTGATGCTGCAGATGACGATGATGCTGATGCTGATGCTTCTGATGATGATGCGGCTGATGATGATGATGCTGATGCTGATAGGGATGCTGATGATGCTGCTGCTAATAATGATGATGCTGATGGTGATGATACGGATGAGCAGGAGGAGGAGGAAGTGGAGGACGAGGAGCGATGAGCAAAGAGAGATGAGGCGGATAAGGCGTACGTATAAGGAGGATGAGGAGGAAGTGGAGGAGCGAGGAGGAGGAGGAGCGAGGTACGAGGACGATGAGCGATGGGCGATGAGCGATGAGTGGTGATGATGGTTTTTGTGATGATGCTGCTGCTGATGAGAATGATGACCATGATGATGATGATGCTGATGCTGGTAATGATGATGCTGCTGATGATGACGATGCTGGTACTAATGACGTTTGACGTTGATGATACTTTCGATGATGCTGATGCTGATGATGCTGCTGCTGCTGATGGTGATACTGATGATGCTGATGCTGATGCTGATGCTGATGCTGGTGCTGCTGCGGCTGATGATGTTGCTGTTGATGATGATGCTGTTGATCATGAGGGTGATGATGCTGCGGATGAGTATGATAACTGCTGAGATTGCTGCTGCTGATGCTGCCTATGATGATGCTGATGCTGATGCTGATGCTGATGCGAATGATGATGCTGATGCTGGTGCGGATGCTGATGCTGCTGATGGTGCTGATGGTGATGATGCTGATGCTGATGATGCTGCTGATGATGTTTATGATGATGATGCTGATCATGCTGATGACGATGATGACGATGATGATGATGATGATGATGATGATGATGATGATGATGACGATGCTGATGATGATGATGATGATGATGATGATGATGATGATGATGGTATGGATGATGATGGTGATGATGCTGATGATGCTGATGCCGCTGATGATGGCGATACTGATGATGCTGCAGACACCGACGATGACGATGCTGATGCTGCTGATGATGATGCTGATGCTGCTCCTGCTGCTGATGATGATGCTGACGGTGATGATGCTGCTGCTGTTGCTGATGATAATGTTGATGATGATGATGATGCTGATGATGATGTCGCTGATGATGATGACGATGCTGCTGCTGCTGATGAGGATGATGATGCTGATGCATATGATGATGATGATGCTGATGACGAAGATGAGGATGCTGATGACGACGATGATGGTGGTGGTGGTGCTGATAATGACGCTGATGATGCCGATGCTGCTGATGATGCTGTGGATGCTGCTGCTTCTGATTCGGCTGATGCTTATGCTGATGGTGCTGATGGTGATGTTGATGCTGATGATTATAATGAAGATAATGATGCTTCTCATGTTGTGATGGTGATGGTTTTGATGGTGCTGATGATGATGATGAAGCTGATGCTGATGTTGACGATGATGAGGATGCTGATGATGATGATGATGATGATGATGATGATGATGATGATGATGATGATGATGCTGATGCGGATGCGGGGCCTGATGCTGGTGATGCTGAGGATGCGGCTGCTGCGGATCAGGAGGAGGAGGAGGAGAATACGGATGATGAGGGGAGGATGAAGAGAAAGATGAGGAATAGCAGGGACAGGATCAGGAGGAACATCAGGATGATGATGAGGATGAGGATGAGGATGATGATAAGGATGAGTAGGAGGAGGATGAGAAGGAGAAGGAGGATGAGAAGGAGGAGGTGGTGGAGGAGGAGGAGGCGGAGGAAGAGCAACAGGAGGATGAGGAGGATGATGATGATGACGAGGAGGAGGAGGAGGAGGAAGGGGAAGAGGAGGAGGAGGAGGAGGAGGAGGAGGAAGAGGAAGGGCAGGAGGAGGAGGCGGAGGAGGAGGATGAGGAGGAGGAGGATGAGGAGGAGGAGGAGGAGGAGGAGGAGGAAGAGGAGGAGGAGGATTGGGGATGAGGAGGGCTGGGGAGGAGGAGGAGGAGGAGGAGGAGGAGGAGGAGGAGGAGGAGGAGAGCGGAGTAGCGAGGCACCCACGAGAAGAAGTAGCGGCCATTTGCCCTCCCCCTGGCCCGTCCCCGGCCCTCGCCCCCTTGCCGTCCTGCCCCCTCGCCTCCCCTTGCTGTCCTGCCCCCCTCGCCCCCCCTCGCCCCCCCGGGCCCTCGTCCCCTCGCCTCCCCCCCGGCCCTCGTCCCCTCGCCGTCCTGCCCCCCTTGCCTCCCCCTGGCCCCCGCCCCCTTGCTGTCCCCCGGGCCCTTGGTACTTCAGAGCGGTTTTTGCCAAAAGCTTGCTCTGATGTATTAAGGGGGTCTTCTCTGCCCTGGGCCTCAGTGGCCGCCGTCGACGGTTCGGGGGGGCCCCGGGCTTCGCTGGTGAGCACCCTGGGGCGGCCAGCTCAGGTGAAGCTTAGCGCTGGCTAAGCTTGCCCTGCGGCGGGCCGCCCCTTGCCGCCATCGAGGTGTCCGGTGGCTGGCCTGGACATGTCTGGGAGTGCCGCCACTCGACCGATGTCGGCCCGTGCACGGCCACCCCGCTCTGGTGAAAGTGCCTGCCGAGCAGCCACCCGCCCCAAGCGGGGCTGCCGGAGGCGACCCACCGAGCGGCACCCGTCCGGCCCAGCGTCGGAGGGGCCGCCAGGGGACCCCCTCCCCAGAGGGCTGGTGCGCAGGCGCCCCCCGCGCCAGCGTCGGGCGCCACCCACCAGGCCCCCTGGCCGCGGGGAGGGGCTGCTGCGGGCTGGGCGCTAGGTGGCCCACCCGCAGAACTTATAAGTGCCCGCGCCGGGCGGCCCGGCTGGGCGGGCGTCCCGATGGGGGGACCGCCTCAAGCGCTCGGAAGGAAGGAAAAGGAGGAGGATGAGGTTTTGGGTGAGGATGAGGATGCTGATGGTCATGATGATGCTGATGATGATGATGAGGTTGCTGATGATGACCATGCTGATAATATTGATGATGATGCTGATGATCATGGCGATACTGATGATGATGAGAATGATACTGGGGATGATGATGCTGATGATGGCGATGGTGATGACGATGCTGATGGTGCTGATGATGATGCAGATGATGATGATGATGATGATGATGATGATGATGCTGATGATGACGATGAGGAGGAGGAGGAGGAGGAGGAGGGTCAGGAGGAGGAGGGGGGATGGGCAGGCGGGGGAGGAATGACACGCTGGGGGAGGGTGCGAGGATGAGGAGGAGGCGCCAGCCCCCCCAAGGACGGGATGTTCGAGGAGGACGACATGGAGGCACGCACCGCGGAACGCTGTCGCAATGCCGCTGTCTACTGCTGCCACGCCTCCTCTGCTTTCTCTACCTTGGTGACCTCCTCTGTCGGTGGGGCAAGATCACGGCGGGAGGCTTTTTGCCGCTCTCGGCCTCTGGAGGCCCTTGCCGGGCTCAAGACCGTCAACCGATTCGGGCATTGTTATATCTAGAAGGGAGGCATGGGCAGGGCGACTGCGAAGACGATGTGCCGTCTGGGCTGGAGACGTTGAAGTGCCTCGGAAGAGGTGTTGTCAAGGCGTCCTCGGGCGGGATATCTGGGTAAGGGAATATCGGCCCCCTGTGCAAGAACAGATCCCCAATGAGGGGTGAGCTATCATAACGGATAAATGCTGCAAGTCGGCCCATAGAACATTCGGGTAATTTGATTGTTGTTGTTGTTGCTGTTGCTGCTATTGTTGTTGTTGTTGCCATTGTTGTCGTTGTTGTTGAGGTTGTCATTGTAGTTGCAGTTGTTCATGTTATTGTTTTTGTTTTTCCCAACCATCCTGTGGTGTTGGGTCCTCGTTTTGAAGAGACGTCGCCCCGCGTTCCTTCCTTCCTTCCCGCTGCCCCCTCCCTCCTCCCATCTTCATCATCATCGTCATCATCCCCATCATCGTCATCGTCATCATCATCTGTCGTCATCATCATTATCACCACCCATGTCGGCACACCCCTCACACGTTTCGTGACCCCATAGGGAGCTCCACCGAAGGTCCCAGTGCGTGTGCCCGCATGCGTCCCGCACACCCATTTCGGCACACCCCTCACACGTTTCGTGGCCCCATAGGGAGCTCCACCGAAGGTCCCAGTGGGTGTGCCCGCATGCGTCCCGCACACGGCATTTCGTGGCACACCGAAGGTCCCTGGGTGTGCCCGCACACGTTTCGTGGCCCCATAGGGAGCTCCACCGAAGGTCCCAGTGGGTGTGCCCGCATGCGTCCCGCACACCCATTTCGGCACACCCCTCACACGTTTCGTGGCCCCATAGGGAGCTCCACCGAAGGTCCCAGTGGGTGTGCCCGCATGCGTCCCGCACACCATTTCGGCACACCCCTCACACGTTTCGTGGCCCCATAGGGAGCTCCACCGAAGGTCCCAGTGGGTGTGCCCGCATGCGTCCCGCACACCCATTTTGGCACACCCTTCACACTATTCGTGGCCCCATAGGGAGCTCCACCGAAGGTCCCAGTGGGTGTGCCCGCATGCGTCCCGCACACCCATTTCGGCACACCCCTCACACGTTTCGTGGCCCCATAGGGAGCTCCACCGAAGGTCTCAGTGGGTGTGCCCGCATGCGTCCCGCACACCCATTTCGGCCCACCCCTCACACGTTTCGTGGCCCCATAGGGAGCTCCACCGAAGGTCCCAGTGGGTGTGCCCGCATGCGTCCCGCACACCATTTCGGCACACCCCTCACACGTTTCGTGGCCCCATAGGGAGCTCCACCGAAGGTCCCAGTGGGTGTGCCCGCATGCGTCCCGCACACCCATTTCGGCACATCCCTCACACGTTTCGTGGCCCCATAGGGGGCTCCACCGAAGGTGTGCCCGCATGCGTCCCGCAGTCGGTTTCGTGGCCCCATAGGGAGCTCCACCGAAGGTCTCAGTGGGTGTGCCCGCATGCGTCCCGCACACCCATTCCGGCACATCCCTCACACGTTTCGTGGCCCCATAGGGAGCTCCACCGAAGGTCCCCGTGGCGCAGTCCACATGCGTCTCCTTTGCCCAGTACAGCGTTACGTGGCCCCATATGGAGCCCCACCGCAGGTCCCAGCCAGCCAGCTAGCTCTCTTTGCTCCGCGCAGCGGGCGACCCGCGCGCGTCGCTGGGACTCCTCCGGGGCGACCTGCGCGCGTCGCGGGGGCTCCGTGCTGCGTTCCGCCCAGCGCCTCGCTCGCCCGTCGTCGCTCTGCCCAGCGGCAAGAGCCTTGCCCGCTATCAGCCAGCCAGCTAGCTCTCTTCGCTCCGCGCAGTGGACGACCCGCGCGCGTCGCTGGGACCCCTCCGGGGTGACCTGCGCGCGTCGCGGGGGCTCCGCGCTGCGCTGCTCCCGCAGCCTTGGACTTTTGAGTGCGCGGGCAAAGAGGGAGTAAAGGAAGGGGAGGAAGCGGGCGCGATCCTCGCGGGGGGGCGCGCCGACATTGGCGTCGCGGCGCGCGGGCGATGCCGTCGGGGAGTCCCGGGGAAGCTCCTTGCGGCGGCCACGCCCAGCGTCACGAGTATTCAGAGGCAGTCGTTGTCAAACTATTGGCATTCATACACATTTGCACCACGCTTTGTCATATTCGCATTCATGCACGTAGACTCGCTCGCACGCAGATCATTCACAGTCAGACGCACGCGCGCAGATTCACCCGCGCTCAGTCTCCCTACGTACTCAGATCAATCGTTTTCGTTCACTTTGTGTACCACGCCACTCATGTCGGCACGCCCCTAGCACGGTTCGTTGCCTCATAGGGATCGCCACCGAAAAAATGAATCACTATTGCGGTACTCGCACCTGCATATGGTTGGGTCCCTCGTCAGGCTAATTGTTTTTGTTGTCGTCGTCGTCGTCATTGTCGTGGTTGTTGTCGTTGTTGTTGTTGTTGTTGCTGCTGCTGCTGCTTGTACTGTTTTGTTGTTGAGTTCTCATTTCCAGGGGAAAATATTGTCCATCCCCCATGCACGGTAACCCTGGCATTCCCCTGGGGCTCGCACCCTGTTTTTCTCACAGGGGAAAGTGAGATGTCACCAAACTGGGCCCCTGGCCCCAGGATTACAACGACAGCGGTTCCCTCCTGATGCCTCTCCACAGTTCATTCCCAAATCGCGCTCTCGCGCGGGATCCACAATTTATGCAAGAATCGCGCTCTGGCGTTGGATTTCGTCGCAATTTATCCAAATGCCGCGCATACGACATTCAAGAATCACGCTTTCGCTGTTGATTTCTGACGATTTGCTGGGGCAGTCGCGCTATTGCTTCAGACGTCCTCGCGATTCAGGCAGGGCGCACGCTTCAGCAACCCGCCTCGTCGACCTGATCGCCTGGGCCCACCTTCCCGACCCGCCCGTTAAGGTCTACCCGCCCGATCTGCCCGTCTGGTTCTGCCACGTGCTTTCTGCTCCTAACCCCACTCCTGATACTCTATCTCGTGCTCTGTCCTCCTCCCTCTCCCATATCCCTTCCTTCCATCCGTCCTCTCGAGGCAAGACATACATACCCTAAGGGGATACGATCGAAGACGAAACTGGCGCGTGTCGAGAACCTGGGATATACGTGTTGGATGGCACGCGAGTAGATAAGAGCGAACAGTCTTAAACTGATTGTCGTTGTCGTTGTCGTTGTTGTTGTCGTTTTGTTGTCGTTGTCATTGTCGTTGTTGCTGCTGCTGTTGTTGATGTTGCTGTTGTTTTGATTGAGTCTCCATTCCTGAAACAATAAATACGGTTGCCCCCCTCTAGTAACCATCTCTATTTTTTTCCAATGGAAGTGCTCCTCCAGGGACTCGCACCCGTGTGTTTTACAAGGGAGAGTGAGATGTCACCAAACTGGGCCTTTCGCCCCTAGTTTACAAAAGCCGCGGCTCCCGCCTGATACTTCCTCACAACTCATTTCTAAATCGCGCTCTTGCGCGGGACTGCTTCGCAACTGATACAAGAATCGCGCTCTCGCGTGGGACTTCCTTGCAATTTATTCAGACGCCGCGCCCTTGATACTCAGGAATCACACTCTTGCGATGGATTGCCTCACGATTTATTTGGGGATCACGCCATTGCTAGATAATTTTTGCGATTAGTGCAGGATGCACGCTTCAGCAACCTGCCTGCCCTTTGTTTCTCCCTTCCTTCCATCCGTTCTCTCTTCCCCTGCCTTCGGGGCTGCACAGAATATTGGATGCAGGTAAGAAAAATCTACCCCTAAGGGGGTACGATGGAAGACGAACAGGGCGGGTATCGAGGGTTTGGGATATACGTGTTGAATTGCACGCGAGCGGAGAAGAGCGAACAGTCTTACGCTGATTGTTGTTGTTGTGGTTGTTGTAGTGGTTGCGATTGTCGTGGTTGTTGTGGTTGTGTTTGTGATTGTCATTGCTGATCTCTTATTGTTCAAAGACAACAGTTGTTTCTAACACTCCGATTGCTTTCGGTGTTTCAAATGGTGCTCCGATCGCAGTGGGAGCCTCATTTCCGGATCGGCGCTTAGCTCACCCCGTTCAGAATGGTGCCATCGCCCCAGCGCCGCCAACTTCTCTGGATCCGAGTTTTTTCATCGTTGTCGCCTACCCTTTCCACTCCTTCGCCTTTCCCTGGTCCTCCTGCTCCTCCCGCTCCTTCCGTTCCAGTTCCCGCTGCTGCTGTCGTCCTCTTTTTCCTTCCTCCTCATCCTCCTGTTCCGCTATGACGTCCGCGGGTAGAAAAAACGTCAGCGCAATGGGAAAACATGAGTGGGAGGGGTAGGATATCAGATACGGCGCCAGCGCACATAGCTTGTCCTCTTCACTTTCCCCTCTCCCTTCCCCTCTTTCCTCCCCTCTCTCATCCCCTCTTCCCTCCTCCTCTCCCTTCTCCTCTCTTCCTCCCTTCCCCTCTCGTCCTCCCCTCTCTCCTCCTCCCCTCTCCTCCTCTATCTCCTCCCCTATCACCTCCCCCATCTCCTCCCCTCTCCCCTCCCCTCTCCTCCCTTTCCCCTCTTCCGTCCTACCCCCCCTTCTCTTCCTCCTCCTCCTCCTCCTCCTCCTCCTCCCCTCCCCCTCCTCCTCCTCCTTCCTCCTCTCCTCCTCCTCCTCCTCCTCCTCCCCTCCTCCTCCTCCTCCTCCTCCCTTTCTTCTTCTTTTCTTCTTCTTCTTCTTCTTCTTCTCCTCCTCCTCCCTTTCTTCTTCCTCCTCCTCCTTCTCCTCCTCCTCCTCCTCCTCCTCCTGCGCCTCCTTCTCTCTCCCGCGGCGGCGCGCAGAAAGCGAGGTGGGGGGAGGGGATTGCGGTGCCCTGAGAGGGCACCCCGCCGCTCAGAAGGCCCTCGCTGCATCCTGCGAGGCCGGGCCCTCCCGGAAGCCCCGGCCCTGGGGCCCAGAAGCCCTCCCACGGGCAGTCCCAGCTGGCCTCCACAGGCCCCCCCGAGTGCGGTCGGACCGAGGTATGAGATCGATGTCGGGTCGGGGAGGGCGCCCTCGTGTTCTCCGCGCTCGCTGGCTGTTCTCGTGCCTTGCACGTTCTTCGTGTTCTGGCCGTTCTGGCCTTGCTGTTCTCGCTGACTGTTCTCCCCGCTCTCCCGGGGAGGGTGCCCTTGCACGTCCCGCGTGTCCTGGCCGTCGGAGGGGCCTGCTCGAAGGGGCCTCTTGGGGCCAGCTGGCACCACCTGTGGGGCGCTGTCTGTGCGCCGCCGCCCGCCCCCTCCGCTCGATCGTCCCCCTGCACCGATCGATCTCGGGCCTCGCGGCGGCCGGCCGGCCGATCCTGGATCTCGGGCCTCGGGTCGATCCGGTCGGCGTCGATGCAACCGGTCGATCGATCTCGGACCTCTCGGGCCTCGGATGGATCCGAGACCCGAGATCCCAGAGATCGACCGATCGGCCGATCCAGGCTCCAGTGTCGACCGATCGATGCCGCATCTTGGATGGACCGTTCGACCGATCTAGAGCCTGTTTTTTAAGGTCTCTGCGATAACGGCCGTGATCGGCCCTTTCTCCGTCTCTGTCTCTCTCTCTCTCTCTCCCTCTCTCTCTCTCTTTTCCCCGGGATCACGTCACGCTATTTTGCCCACATCTGCAAGACTTTTCCATGAATTCTTCCATGATCTTCGAAGACCTCCGGCGGCCCCCCGCCGTGATGTGATCGGGGGGGGGCGGGGGCGAACTCAAAAGCAGGCTCCTGCCCCCGCCCGTCGCCAGCCCGCCGCAGGCAGCCCGCGACACCGTCCGCGCCCTGAGGCGGCTCAGCGCAGAGGGGAAGCTGGCGCCGAAGGCGGGGCGGCTCCCCTCCGCTCCGCGCGGCCTCGGCCGCCCCCCGCCCGCCGGCCTCGGCCCCGGATTTCGGAGCAGGAGAGCTGCGGGTGCCGGTACCGACTGCACGCAGGAGTGTCAGGAGGGGAAAGAACACGCAGACACAATTCATCGTCGGTTCCCAGGAGAAAATATGGGAAAATATGGGAAGTGGGGGGGAAGACATAAACCCAGAAAATATGGGGAAATATGGGGGATCCTTTTATTACCTAACAGCGAAGACTGATAGGTTTCTAATTGGGTCAAAAGAGAGCATCTGATGACTCCCCAGGGGGGTCTGGCCGGGAGCCGGACAGGCGAGAACCGGGCTCGTTTTAAGCAAACAGTCACACACTTCGTGCTCTTCGACCTCCCAGAACTCCATTCCCGGGCCACATTTTGAATGCCCGGAGCCAACTGTAGGCCACTTCGTGCTCTTCGACTTCCCAGAACTCCATTCCCGGGCCACATTTTGAATGCCCGGAGCCAACTGTAGGCCACTTCGTGGTCTTCGAGTCCCCAGAACTCCATTCCCGGCCCACATTTTGAATGCTGCGGCCGGCTGGAGGCCTGGAGGCAGGCTGAGGCTGAAGCAGGCTGAGGCTGAGGCTGAGGCAGGCTGAGGCTGAGGCTGAGACAGGCTGATGCTGAGGCAGGCTGAGGCTGAGGCTGAGGCTGATGCAGGCCGAGGCTGAGGCAGCCTGAGGCTGAGGCGAGGCTGAAGGCAGACTGAGGCTGAGGCTGAAGCAGGCTGAGGCTGAGGCTGAGGCAGGCTGAGGCTGAGGCTGAGGCAGGCTGATGCTGAGGCAGGCTGAGGCTGAGGCTGAGGCTGATGCAAGCTGAGGCTGAGGCAGGCTGAGGCTGAGGCCGAGGCTGAAGGCAGACTGAGGCTGAGGCTGAAGCAGGCTGAGGCTGAGGCTGAGGCAGGCTGGGGCTGAGGCTGAGGCAGGCTGATGCTGAGGCAGGCTGAGGCTGAGGCTGAGGCTGATGCAGGCTGAGGCTGAGGCAGGCTGAGGCTGAGGCCGAGGCTGAAGGCAGACTGAGGCTGAGGCTGAAGCAGACTGAGGCTGAGGCTGAGGCTGAGGCTGAGGCTGAGGCTGAGGCTGAGGCTGAGGCAGGCTGATGCTGAGGCAGGCTGAGGCTGAGGCTGGGGCTGATGCAGGCTGAGGCTGAGGCAGGCTGAGGCTGAGGCCGAGGCTGAAGGCAGACTGATGCTGAGGCTGAAGCAGGCTGAGGCTGAGGCTGAGGCAGGCTGAGGCTGAGGCTGAGGCAGGCTGATGCTGAGGCAGGCTGAGGCTGAGGCTGAGGCTGATGTAGGCTGAGGCTGAGGCAGGCTGAGGCTGAGCCCGAGGCTGAAGGCAGACTGAGGCTGAGGCTGAAGCAGGCTGAGGCTGAGGCTGAGGCAGGCTGAGGCTGAGGCTGAGGCAGGCTGAGGCTGAGGCTGAGGCTGAGGCTGATGCAGGCTGAGGCTGAGGCAGGCTGAGGCTGAGGCTGGGCAGGCCTGGCTGAGGCTGAGCTGTGACTGCGACTGCCGTTGCCACTGCGACTTTCCTCGCGAATGCGACTGCGATCTGGAGAACGCAGAATTCTACAACTGGGATTCTCATGTGATCTTAAGGGGAAATGCTTCTTCCAGATATCCTCCTACACATCTTTATTAGGTTTGTCTTTGCCGGGATTAATTTTGTGTGTATTTTTTATTTGCGTGTCCCAGGTCCCCTTTACAGAGGTGAGTGACCCTGCGCCCGAGTGGCCTCTGCTGCGGGCCCTGCCAGGGTCCCCCGATCGCCGATCGCGAGGTGGCTGTGGCCGTCATTGCGCGCCTGTGTGTGCCCCCCCCCCCCCCCCTTGCGGCCACCAGAAGGCTGCGCACCAAAGGTCACTCTGACCCAGGGTCAATCCTTGCGTGTAGCCGACGATGCGGTGCAGTCGGGCCGAGGTATGAGATCGAGGTCGGTTCGGGGAGGATGCCCCAGTGTTCTCCGTGCTTGTTGGGTGCTCTGGTGCACCCTGGGGAGCGTTTTGGCCAGCGGATGGTTTCATGTTCTTGAGGGGTGTTCTTCTGTCCTAGGTCCGCCCATGCAGATACCGCTACCCTTCTGCCGTTTTCCTCTTTTTCGGCCTCCTGGGAGGCCCTCGTCGCCACCGCTGGATTCGCCTCGAGATCCTGGTCAGAGCGCACCCTGGGAGGTTCAGGGAGCAGCGGCATCGGTACCTCTTGGCTTCCCCAAGATCGGGGGCAGCGTCGGCAGGGGGCAGGCCCAGGTGCGTCGAGGGACAGGCATCTGCACAACCAGCTTCTTGACGTCGCGGCCACGTGCAGCGGCGCGGCGCAGGTAGAATAGCTCGGATACAAGGTCAAATTCTGATTTCGCCCTGGTCCGAAATCCGGCTTAATCTGGCTTAATCCGGCTTGATCCCGCTTAATCCTGCTCAATCCCGCCTAATCCGGCTTAGTCCCGCTTGATGCGAGGCCCGATCTGGTAACAGATCCCCCTTGGGGCTTAATCCTCCTGAATCCTTCCGACGAAGACCTCCCAGTAGTTGCCTCCTGAGAACAGCCGGACGGAGATGCGCGCGAGGCTGGCCCAGGTCGCGCGGCGTGGGGACACCGGGCCCGTCCAGAGGGGCTCGACGGCATCACTCTCGGGGGGGCAGGCGCGAGGGGAGCGACGGCGATGGGGAACATGGTGGGCCAGTGAGGAGAGGGAAGAGAAGGAGGAGGGGGGGGAGGAGGAGGAGGAGGAGGAGGAGGAGGAGGAGGAGGCGGAGGAGGATGAGAGGAGGAGAGGAGGAGGAGGGAGGAGGAGGAAGAGGAGGAGGTAGGATGAAAGGAGGGGGAGGAGGAGGAGGAGGATGAGGAGAAGGATGAGGAGGAGAGGGATGAGGAGGAGGAGGAGGAGGAGGAGGAGGGAGGAGCCGGGGGAGGAGGAGGGGGAGGGAGGAGGAGGAGGAGGAGGAGGAGGAGGAGGAGGAGGAGGAGGAGGAGGAGGAGGAGGAGAAGAGAGGCGGAGGAGGAGGAGGAGGCGGAGGAGGAGGAGGCGGAGGAGGAGGAGGAGGAGGAGGAGGACCTCCCCATCCTCCCTTCTCCCCCGTTCGACCTGTGGTAGTGGTGGTGGAAAAAAAGGTGCCCACCAGCATGAGATATTTGCATGAGCGTGCACTTTTGGAGGCTCGCGCGGATTTTTGGTGGTTCGGCGCCGGCCCCCGTGCGCGCTCCGCGCGGCGAGGAGCTCCGCGCGCCCGGGAGGGGACCTTGTCGCGGGATTTTGTTGACGCAGACCTTCCGAGGCGGGACTTTATCCATATCCACCGCCTGGAGGGTCAGTTTTCGGAGCCTCGGCAGGCGGTGGATATGGACATATTCGGGCCCCCGGGGGCCGAAATATATCGATATCCACCGCCCGCTGGGGCACCAGGACGTCGGTTCCCAGGCGGTGGAGATGGATAAATCCCCGTCTCGCAGACCTTGGTCATGGTCCATGCCGGTCGTCGCCGATTCGCGAGGATGAGCAACGGCTTGACGCTGACCACCAGTATGGGCGAAGACCAAGATCGAGACGACATGCCCGCGCGTAGTCTTGGCCACCTCGGGGGTTGCTAGAGGTGCCCCCGGTCCAAGTTGCCCCCAGCTTTTTCTGCTCCGCTCTGCAGAGCCCCTGGGGCCCCCCTGGGCCTCGTGGGGGGTCCCCTCGAGGCCGCGGGGGCCTGCTCGGACATCCTGGGGGCACCCTGAGGGCCAGGGGCACTTCTGGCAGCACCCCCCCCCCGCCCTGCAATGCGCGCCCGTTCCGCTTCCCCCGCGCCCGCGCGGCCCCGGTGCGCCCGCGCCGCCCGGGCCGCGGGCGCCCGACTTCGTTCTCTCCTGCGGAACGGCCTGGCCCTCGCCCTCGCCGGTTATACCGACAGGGAGGCATCGAGACCGTTCCAAAACCATAGGTACTCTCAGCCGCGAAACATCTACGTTCAAACGCGTGCCAACCTCCAACGATCTTTTATCCAGCACTGTGTGAGGAAGTCTGAGGGAGTGGGAGGACACGGAGCGGGGGATCGATGCATGGGGGATCAGGGGATTCGTGCAGGCTTTGCTCCCCATCGCTCTGTCTCTCTCTCTCTCTCTTTCTTCCCTCTGGCCTGTTCCCCCCTCCTGGGCTTCTCCACTGCTGTGCAGATGCTCGTCCACAGCAGTCGGTCGTAGTCTTAACCCTGACGCTGTGGATGGCCATTGCACCGCAGCGTTGAACCTGGGAGGTAACAGTTGCTTGCGGGATTGTTTACCGCTGGAAAACCACCAGACTTCCATCGCACTGAAGCGCACCATAGAACACATACTTTTCGCCCTTCTTTCGGCCTCCGGGGCCTCTGGCCAGGGGCCGTCGCTGGGCACCGTCGGAAACAACGACTCGGGCTGAGAAGCCAGCCCTGGGGGCAGGGTCAGGACTTGTGGGGACCCCGTATCCAACGAACCAGCGGATCTCTGGGACGCAGCTATGTGGGCAGTGCGTGCTGCCGCGGCCCATGGGCAGGCGGGAGCTGGTGGGCCCTATGTGGGCAGTGCGTGCTGCCGTGGCCCATGGGAAGGCGGGAGCTGGTGGGCTTTCCTCGTCGTCGTCGTCGTCGTCGTCGCCGCCGCCGCCGCCGCCGTCGCTCCCGTGCACCCACGGGCCCACGCTTGCTTCTGCACGCGTGCCCGCCCGCGCGGCCACTCGTCATCCCGGCCTCAGGTGGGCTGCCGTCGTCGCCGCCGTTGTCGCTCCCGTGCGCCCACGGACCCGCGCTTGCTTCTGCGCCGTGTGCCCGCCCGCGCTGCCACTCATCATCCGGGCCGCAGGCGTCTCGTGGTTGCTATGGGGCGCCTCGCTGCTGTTGCGAGTTTTTTTGGCTGCTGTCGTGTGGCGTCTCGCAGTTGCCATGGCAGCTGTCGGTGACGTTGATTGCCTTGCAGGATCGCGAACAATCACAAACAGAGCCCCAGTTTTTTGGCTGCATTTTTCGAGTCGGATCGATCTGTGATGGTCCCATGGCCCGAAACTGGGCGAAACCGCCCGCTGCGAAATGAACGGCAACGCCAGGACCTCAGGGAAAGGTCGGAAACGGGCCTACTTTGGTGTAATCCCTTTTAGTCTGGCTAGGTCCCGCTTGCTTCGGTCCAGTCCCCGGCGCAATCCAGCCCGATCTGGCCTGAAGCCTCTCTTGCCTGGCTCTCTCTCTCTCTCTATATATATATATATATATTTATAGTATCGCCAAGTTCTCAGTTCTTACGAAGCCCTCCCGGGAGGTGCCTCCGAAGAGGAAGAACGGACATCTTTTTGTTGCTGGGCCCGCAGGCGTTCCGGTCCTCGCTGAGCGGGCAGCGCGCCTCCTCTGCGCGCGCGGCTTTGCGCCCTTGGACGTGTCGCACGCGGGGCTGCCGCGCGGCAGCGCCGCGAGGCGAGATAGGCCGAGCGCCGCTTTGAAGCGGGGCGCGCGGCGGGGCTGGGGCGTGGCTCGGCGGCGGCGCGCGCGGGGCTGCTGGCGCGAGGGCTCCTCCTCCTCCTCCTCCTCCTCCTCCTTCTCCTCCTCCTCCTCCTCCTCCTCCTCCTCCCCTCCTCCTCCTCCTCCTCCTCCTCCTCCTCCTCCTTCCTCCTCCTCCTCCTCCTCCCATCCCCTCCTCCTCCTCCTCCGCTCCTCTCCTCCTCCTCCTCCTCCTCCTCCCCTCCTCCTCCTCCTCCCCCTCCTCCTCCTCCTCCCCGGCCTGCTCTTGGTCAAGCAGTGGCGAAGCGACCTGGCTTGCCTATAGGCCCACCAAAGACTGTATCTTTTCCACGCCAGGCGTTTTCGCCCAGTCTCTGGCCCTGGGGCCATCACGGATCGATCCGGCTCCAAGAGTGCAGCAGACAGGTGGGGCCTGGGGCTCTGGTCCCGATCCTTCGCGATGCTGCATGTCTTCGCGGCGTCGGATTCTTCGAGGGGCGGCCA